CTGGGAAGGACCCCCACCCTCCGAAGGACCCCCATCCTGGGAAGGACATCTACCCTGTGAAGGACCCCATCCCGGGAAGGAGCCCCACACTGTAGGAAAGGCTCCCACACCCTGGTAAGGTCTCCCACACTGAGAAAAACCCCACACCATGGAAAGGACCCCCACAGCCCGGAAAGGGCCTCCACCCTGGGAAGGACCCCACCGATATCAGGGCACAGTCCATGGTTGAGGACCTGGAATGGAAATGCCTTCCTTCCCCGGACACCCCATCCCTGACCTCCTGCAGCCCATGGACGGCCTCCCCTGCTCCCCCAGCTGGAAGTATCTTCCCACTCCCCGCCTTCCCCGTCCCCTGGCTGTGCACAACCGTCATCCTCTGAGTGGGCAACAAGTCTCCTCTTGCTCTCCCCTCCTGCACTCCTGACACAATCCTGTTGTCTGTCAGTGGCCGGCGCCACTGGACCCAGATGCTCCAGCTGGTTCTGTGCATCTGAGTAGCTTGCCCCACAGCTGCCCGTGAAGACAGCAGCAGGTAGTCAGGGTCCGAGCCCGGCTCTCCTAATCCTTTGCTTGATGAGCTCACCCTCTCATTACACAGTGCTCACATCAGGTCAGATGATTCTGGGCAAGCTCCCCTTGCTGTGTCACGTCCTAGTCCTTGCCCCAGAGGGCAGAGGAGCGCCCTTCATGTCCTCAGCTTTATGTGGTGGTCCCTCAGCCTGAGGTGCGACTGTCACCTCCTATGTAAGAGTTAGGGAACTCGCTCCAGAAACCAATATCAAGGAAGGCCAACCCCCGATTGGCTGAAACAAAAGCAGATTCAGTAAAGATTGAGGAATGGCGTCATCATTACTCAGTTGTGCTCAGAGGCTACTCCCCGCTCTGGGCTTGGGGGGTCACTTCCGGTGGTACCCTGGGCTCACGCAATGCCAGGGATCTAGCTGCACCTCCCGGCCCTTTGAGCTCTCTCTCCCTCTGGGTCCCTGAGGGCCATTTGTGGAGGCTTTCTAGGGGCCATGCACTTTTCTAAGTTCTCTGATATGAGTCTTCACCATATGAAGGAGGTTTTCGTATCAGTCAAGTTACTGCGTGGAGGCAAACGGCTCCCTGGGGTCTTGGCCTGATGAAGCGAAGCCCTCTCGAGAAAGAGGATGCCACCGACCCCGCCCCAACCCCTTGCGCGCTCCCGAATCCGGCTCACCATCTCGCCATGGACTTCGTGCTGCTCGGCATGCCAGGCATGGAACTCTACGCGGGACCCCTGCTGGAACTCCACACGTGTGATCCCTGCTGGATATCGTGGCTGTTTTGCAAGGTTCAGACGGAATAGCATTAGCAGGGCGCGGGAAAACTGCACCGGTGACCACCGTGGCACCACCTGTCCAGGCCAGGCCGACATGGAGCTGTGGTGGCAGTGCGCACAGTGGCTTATCCACTCATCCACTGCAAGGTACAGTCCGCCAACTACCAGGTGTTCGTCCTGGCACAGACCCTCCGTGATGAGGTCCTGCTCTGCCAGCTGCTCAGCAACCTCCTGGGCTTACTCCATCTACCTCAAGGAGATCAACCTGAGGCCACAGATGTTCCAGGTGCTGCCCAGAGACACAGGCAGGTGTGTGTTTGTCAGTGTGCATATTGTTACAACATGCCAGTCGACCAAAAGCTTGCATTTGGTAGACTGGGAACACCTGTGAAGGCGATTAGAGGCTGCCCCAAAAGCCTCCGTCCCTCTCAGAGAGCACAGCAAGCTACTGAGTGTATCCTGCCCACACGGCAGAGCCTGGCAAGCTACCCGTGGCGTATTGGATACACCAAAAACTGTAATAATAACAGGTCTCATTCCCCTTATTCCCCTGACCCTGAAAGAGATCCCAATATGCCACTGGGCTACGCTAGCATGAGACAGGAACCAATGGAGTCATTACTGGCACCCGCATGAACAAATCGATGAACAGCGGGATGACAGTGATAGAAGTGAAGTGATACAAGTTTACGGATGAGAAAACTAACACTGTGTGCCAGGAGCTTGCCTGTGTCCCATCGAGCTGACACAAACTTTGAATCCTGGAGCAGATGGCGCCTGTGAATGGCTTTAGATTGTGACTCACCTGGTCTCACCCGACATGTGCTGAGACCACAGTGTATTTCAGGCTCTTGGAGGTGCCTGGGCAACCCAGGATGGGGAGACAGGAGAGGGTTCTGCTCCCAGTGCCTGTTGGGCAGCCGGACCTGATGGTGCAGCATTGCCCACTAGCAAGTGAGGTGGATTCACCCAGTGGCCGCACCCCCGAGTTAGAGTCCAGCCTTTACTCATCGTTGTCCCTAGAGGGCAGTCAACACCAGCTCTTCCTGGTTCCGTTTCCTTCCCTTTCTCTCTGTGCCCTCTCACCCAGCTGAGGTGTGTCCGCGTGATCAGCGGGTTCAGGTGCCCTGCGCAGGGTGGGGTGCGACCTCTCCTCACTTCGCCCTCAGAGCGCCCGTCTCTTCCTGCCCCGCTCACACCCTTCCCCTTTGCCAGAGCTGCCTCACCTGTCAGCCTGCTGTGCTATCCTGCAAGCAGCGGGGTCCTCTTCCAGCTGTGAAGTGTGGGACTCCCTTGGATGCCTGGGTTCTTTGTCCAGCCCCTCTGTCCCTTGCCCCCCACAGACCTACTGGACAGAAGCCCGCGGCCAGCACTGCTGAACTCTCGGCTCCTCTCTGCAGCTCAGGATGGGCCACCAGTGGCCCCATCCCGAGTCAGCAGCGCTTGTCTCCTCAACCCCTACAGGACTCTCTCCCAGAGAAGCTGGCTGTGCACGAGAAGAATGTGCGAGAATTCGATGCCTTCGTAGAAACCCTGCAGTAAAAGCTGGCATCAGTCCCAGCAGCAGACTTGGGTGCTACATGCAATGACGACCCAGAGATGTGCTGTGTAGTGTGCACCACGGCCATTGTGTGAGGCCCCAGGGGCCCGCGAAGGCCAGACAGGCCCCTTCTCTGGGCTACCCATTCCTGTTCCTGCAGTTGGATCATGGGCTATTTCCTCCTGCAGTCTGGGTCTGGCCTGCATCGGACTCAGCCCGCACGAAACCATGGCTCCAGGGCTGTTCTGCACTGGCCGAGAGCCAGGGTCTGTTGGCGGCAGTATGAGGTGTGATGGGCGAATGAGTGGACAGGATGAAGGGGCTGTGCCCCAAGGACCCAGGTAAGGGGACCCTGCAGGAACCAATCCACCCACCCTCTGCCCTTGCAGGGCCTCCTCCCGCCTACCAGCCTCCTTGGCCCTGGTATCCCCCCGACAGAAGAGCTACAGAGACCAGAGGGGCCTGCCTGAGTAGCCACGGTCTCTGTGGACACAGTGCCCCACCCCTTGCTCTGTAGCCAGGCTCCAGGGCAGGCCAGAGGATGGTTTGATGATTATTCTGGGGCCAGGGAGAATGACTTGAAGGGTTAGAGGGCAAACGTATGCAGGCGCCACAGAGTCTAGCCCCAGCATGGCAGTTCCTCCCTCACCCCCACCCCATGAGCTCCTCCGGGGGTGAGCACCAAGCTTGGAGCAGTCCCTGAACCAAAAATAAATTTAAAAATTCTATCCTGGGGCCCAGAGAGATAGTACAGTAGGAAAGGCATTTCCCTGGCACCCAGCAGACCCTGGTTCAATTTCTGGCATCTTTTATGTTTTCCCGAGCCCACCAGGAGTAAACTGAACATCGCTGGGTGTGGCCGCAAAACAGCAAAATTCTATTATGCCCCATGTGGGACAAAGAAAGGGACCCAGAGCTCTGGTTCAGAGGCTGCACCTGAGACAAAGCCTGAGCTGCTGCCCACCCCTGGCCTCCCTGGTCAGAAACAGTACAGGTCCTGCGTCCTCACCTTCAGTTTTTGGTTTCCCCTAATCTAACTAGAGTCCTCCTCCTTTCAAGCATCTCGCCACACCCCCAGACCAACTGCTGTTTCGGCCCTGCATACTGGCTTTTGAGTCACTCAGCCCTGCCAGCAGCTCAGCCCGGCCCAGTAAACAGCTCTCCCACCTCCTGCGTGGACTCCCTGGGTCCCCACCTCTGTGCTGAGCCACCTCCAGCCTGGAGCTAAGCAGAGCCAAGGAGCGGCCAGCAGAGCCTCCAACTGACGCTGGCAGGAGGAAGGTCACTGAGCATCATTGCTCTGGGGCCAGAGAGCGGTCAGTGGGCTGGCTGAGAGCAGGAGGCTCAGATTCTATCCCAAGTTCTGCAGGGACGCCCCCTGAGCACTACTGGGACACCCTAGTCCCAGACAACTGCATGGTGTCTGTGGGGGACCTAGTGATGAGCACACTCTGCGCACCCCCAGCCAGAACCCCCTTTCCATTCAGCCAGACTCTCAGCCTAGAAGCTCATGGGTACGTTTGCTGTGGGCAGGCTGGGCTCTGCTCAAGCCAGAGGTGATGTCTTCTTCTGGGGGGCTCCTGGAGGCCCTCCAAACAAACAACAACAAAACCACTACCTGCTCTTGTGCTCGGATCAGGCTCCTCCCGACCTCACAGGGAATCAGGAGGAACAAGAGCAGGCCCAGCTGAGGCCCAGAGGACTTCCTGACTGCAGTCAGCAAACAGCACCCAGCAGGACCGTGACCTTCCTTGACGGGAGAGCCCAGAGAAATTACGTGACCTTTCTTGACTGGTGAGCCCAGAGAAATTCCGGCCTGCCCTTTCTTGCAGTGACAAACCAGCTCCTTAAAAAGTGGCAAACACACACTACGAAAATTCCCCACCATCTATCTCAACCTCCAAAGCAAACCTGCGGCAGAGGCAAGGTCTGGGCAGGGGGCCACCTCTGTGGGAACGCACAGCGGGGGCAAGTACTGAGGTTCTGGGTGGAGTGGGGAGGGCAGCAAACCCGTCCGGAGGGCCCCAGCTTCGATGCCGGGTTGGCACGGGCACACCCACTAGAGTTGCCACGGGACACTCACTGTCATGCATATGCGACATTTCTGCCGGGGTGGGAGGGAACCACCACACCCACTTTCTCTCTGGCAGCCAGCTGGGCAGTTTTCCGTGTTTTTATTGAAATACAAAAGTGCAAAGGTGAAATACATGATTGGTGCTGGGAAGTCGGGCCATGGGGCGGCCAACACAGACCAATGGCAAGTGCCTGCCCACCCCAGGGCTGAAGAGGGGCCCTCGGGGAAAGACCAAGTCTAGCCCCCTGGCCCCTCGGTACACGGGCTGACGTACAAAGGGAGAGGAGGCAGTGGCTGGGGCCACGCTGATCAGGGAGACAGCTGCCACTCGGGCAGACGTGGGGACCATGGGGAGGGTAGGCTCCAGCCCCCCCACATCATGGGGCTGGACTTTCAGTGACGATCCTACACTCCACCAACACAAACCCAGTGAAACTCTGCCAAGATCGTTCCCTTACTACCAAGGCATAAGGCCCCAGAAAAGGGGTCTCCGGGACTTACCAGGAAGGACCAATTCTAAGAGATACGCTAAAATGGGGGGAGGTTGTCAACTATCAGTGGAGGCTGTACTAGGGGGAAGGGGCTCATCTGCTGAGCAGTCTGCACTGCCACCCAGCAGCACCCCCTGAGGAAGGCGTCACCACCAGCCAGGGCATGGCCCTGCCAGCCTGCAGTAGACATGTCTGCGAGCTTCTAGGCTAAGGAAAGGGGGGGCCCGGCTTGGGGGTTAGGAGAGTGCTTGTTACAAGCCCCCGCCCCCACCAGACACTATGGAGTTCTTGGGGGCAGGACTGGGGTGTGTTTCAAAGGGCTGCTGGGACTCTACCCAGCCATCCAAGATGCCAGTCCTGGAAGAACCAGCCCTGGGCGCAGCCTGAAGGCAAGGGGCATAGTCCAGGGCTAGGACAGTCCCATGAGGGAAGGCCGTCCCAGGACGTGGATGCAGAGAAGCCTGTCACTCCTGAATCCTGGAAATCCCCAAAGATGGGAAGCCCAGCCCAGCCAGCTCCACCTTCGCCCTCCATCACATAGCAGGAGGGGCAGGACCAGTCCAGCTGGCAGTGCCCAGGCAAGAGGCGGGAGGGTGGGGGTGGGGGGTATCAGGGAGGTGGGGCCGGGGCTGGTCCTTCTCCCAGAGAGGCAGGCAGGCAAGCCGGCTCTGCAGAACCTGGCAGGAGTCGGGGACCCAAGGAGGCAGTGAGAAGTATAAGGCGAAGAACAAGGCCCAGCGGTCACGGCGAGGCCTCCAGGACTGAGGTGGGCAACAGCGGGGCAGGAGGAACGCAGCTGACGTGCCCAGCTTCCAGCTCTGGGCCCTCATGGCCCCCTGAAGCTCGGAGTCCAAAGTGGGGCTCTCTGGGACAGGCTGGGGTGGGGCTCAGAGCCCCTGGCAGTCGGTGCTGGGGAACAGCTCCCCCTGGTGGTCCAGGAGGAACTTGGTGAAGGTGTTGATGGGATTGATGGCCTTGAGGGTGATGGCCGCGTCCTTGGCCCATAGCAGGTTGGGGCCGAAGACCACGGCCAAGTTGGCGTTGGTCATCTTGTTCTGCTCACAGTGGGCAGAGACCTGTGGGGGGAGTCGGGGGGAAGTGCTGCAGCGGGAAGCCAGGCAGCGCCTCTGCCCACCTTCCCTGTCCACCCACCGCGGGCGGAAGCTGTGCTCACCTCCACCAGGAAGGTGGTCAGGAAGCGCAGCACCTGGTAGTTCTCGGCAGGCAGCGAGCGCAGGGCCTGCTGTGTCACTTCCACGCGCTGGCTCTCGTCGATGTCTGCGAGGAAGGGGGACCAGGGTCATAAGGCAGGCGTGGGGTACTGGGGGGACCCCACCACACGCCGAGAAGGGGCACTCACTGAGGAAGCCCACCACGTGGGGGTAGAGGTCAAAGGTGAGCAGGGGTTCAGGCAGCTCCCGCAGGAAGGTCTTGAGGATGACGGCCGGGAGGTGTAGCTCGTTGTACTGGTCGAAGTCCACGGACAGCCCTGCAGAAAGGAAAGCAGGGGGTCAGGCGGGCTCCAAGACCACCGGCCTCAGCTTCTGTGCACCGCCCTGGGCTCTGGGAGTGGGACAGGGACACAGGTGTACTCCTGGGGGTGGTCCCCGAGACACTAGTTAATCTTCACCTCCACTGACCCTGGCCCGGAACCAGGAGCCAGATGGACACGGCCTGGGGCAGCCAGGCAGGGTGAGCCGTGATGACCCCAGAGCCCTGGGGAGCAGAACTGTCCCAAGGCCATGGAAGGGTGAGACCACCCCACAAGTTACAGGCATCCCACAACACAGACTCACTCAACAAACACACACACACACACACACATTCACAGACATACACAAGGTCACAGAGACACAAACAATCACAACCACACGCTCATACACATTAATACACACACCATTCATAGGCACACACGGACACAGAGACACACACAGACACAAAATATACACACACAAAACATACCACATACACACTCATAGACAAACATGCGAACACACAAACATACACCACACATACACTCACACAGCAACAACCACATGCATAATACCATACCCAGGGACACAGAGACCATCACAAACAGACCCAGCCCCCCCCACACAAAGTCACACATGGACACAGAGACAATTATACACATACTCACCACACATACACCCAGACACTCAGAGACAGTCACAGACATACATGGACACACAATCTCACACACACACATACACACATGCACGCACACACACACACACGCCCCATCCAAGGCCCGCACTCACCCATGTTGTATTTCTGCTGCACCTCCCGTACCACCGTGGTGTTGGCCGACCTCCGGAAGATGCCCTCCGTGCTGAGAGCTGGGGGTCAGGGGCACCTGGTGAGTGCTGGTGCTCGGGGCACCATGCAGAACCCCCTCCCAGAGGGTCTTGGGGACCTGCACTCACCGTGGGCCCGCAGGTAAGTCACGGTGTCCCGGAGCACCAGCGGGATGGGCTCCTGCTCGGGGTTCTTCTCCTGGAGGCTGTGGGGACAGAGCAGTGAGCAGGGCCGCAGCCCCCCATCCCAGGCACCCCAACTTGCCCCCCTCCCCCGCGCATACTCACTGCTGCAGTGAAACCCCAAACTGCTGGTTGGGCAGAGGTGGCCGCGGCGGCATGGGCTTGGGGGCCGTGGCAGGGCTCTTCTGGGTGGATTTGAGAAAGTCGTCGTACCTGGGGGAGCGGGCGGGAGACTCAGGCCCTCTCTGTGGCTGTCCCACCCTGGTGGCCAGTGTGCCACAGCTCCTGGGTCCCCCCACCGACCCTCGCCACCACCCTCCTTTCCATACACGAATGGGCTTGGAGCCACAGCCCTTAGCACGAGTGGGGTGCGGGCTCTGGGCCATCCCACTGGCTCCCTTTGCTAATCCCGGGGTTCTCACGCCTTCTTCCCCGCCCCCCCAGGCGAGATGGAGGCCACACGTCCCCAGCCCCTCACTTGAGCACTTGGCGGGGGATCCCCAGCTGCTCCAGCTTCACGTGCTCGCTCAGCTCGCTCAGGTAGTTCACGTAGAAGATCTTCTGCCCGAACTTGAAGCTGGGGAGTCGGGGAAGGCGCCGGGTGAGGTTGAGGCTGGACGCCCTCCACCCCCGACCCCCCAGGTCCTGTCCGGGGAGCCTGGGCCCAGCCCCGCCTGCTAACCTGATGATGGGCTTAAAGAGGATGAGCAGAGTCTTGATGAACATGGTGGGGTGCACGATGTATAGCGCCTTGATATTCTTCTTGTACCTGCGGGGCCGGCGGGGGGGTGGGCTCAGGAGGGGCTCAGACCACAGGGTCTGCTCTGACTAGTGGCCAGCTGGACAGGCGGGGGACAACGGTGTGGGGCGGGGAAGGGGGGTGAGTGCAGGGTGAGGGGGTGGGCCCAGGGAGAAGCTGGAGGCTCAGTCCAGGCCGATCTGAGGGTCGCGGGGCCTCCCCAGCTCTGGCCCCAGCGCTGGGCCCCCCACCCACTTGCGGTCGAACTCGCGGTAGGCGTCGCGCAGCCAGCTGAGGGATGGCTTGTTGTCGCTGCTGAGGCCGTGGTGCAGGTAGAGCAGCGTGTAGTCACTCTCCACGTACTGGTCCAGGGTGTGCTTCAGGTACCTGGTGGTGTGGAGAGGGGGCAGCGGGGCCCATGAGGCCATGCGCCCTGCACAGCGGGGAGGCCCCAGGAAGATAGAGCCCTGGGTGGCTATGCAGGGGGTCAGAGTGCACCCCTGGATGCTGTCAGGTACACCCCCTTGGGTCTGTAAGGAGCATGGCAGGACAGTGCCAAGAAGACTCAGCAGTCGGTGACAAAGTCAGTTCCCCCACCCCACCCCTGGCCTCTCTAGTCCGCCCACCCCCCAACCTCCCCAAAGGTCCGCCAGCCCTCTCTAGGGTCCCCCAGCCCCCCTCAGTCCTGCTGCCACTTGGCACACACCTCCACCCTTCCAACAATGGGGTGGCTCCCATTTACCTGTTTCCGGAACATGTGGGAGTGTGTGCCCCCCCCCCCACCTCGGCTTCCCTTTCTCACCCTGAACCCTCCCTGGAAAGATGTTCCATGTAGGTGACTGGCTGTGGGGGTCCCGAGGCCCAGGCTCACAGAGGTCCAGTATCCACCCCCCACCATGGTGGGATGCAGACAGGGAACCCACTTGTGTTGGTGTCTGTCTGTCATCGCAAGCAGAGCCTCAGACCAGAAAAGGGACCCCAAGAAGACACTGATTGGTGGGGGGGGGGCAGCAGGAGTCTCGGGGAGCTGGGGGAGGGAGGGGCACACGGGGCAGGAGGAAATGAGCCTGGAAAGCACCCCAGGATTTGATTAGGTGCCAGATATGGCCTGACCTAGCTGAGAAAGGGGATGTGTGTGTGTGGGGTGGGAGGGCCCATAAGGTGGCAAGGGCTGGACCTTGGGGCTTCACATGTGAGGGCAATGCCGGACACTGATTCCCTAAGCACCAGGTAAAGAGAGAAGAGTCTCTTTGGAGGCTATTCCAGGCCCCAGAAGGCGACACAGTGCTGGTGATCAGACCCCATGAAGTGTTGGTCTCTCTACCCCGACAGACAGAAACACATTCCCGCTGGGCATGTGGCTCACTGGGGAGCTCTGGCCCCGGGAGCCATCTCTGGGGCTGGCAGGAGGAAGGGAAGGTCCCCAGGGCCCCGGGTGTGTGGCCCTGGGGACCCACCAGCAGGACCGAGAGTTGCGCAAGCACACCCCAAATAAATAAGAACAGGGCCAGCACTGATCTGCAGGAAGGAATGTGAGCTGAACAGAAACGCTTTTGGAGGGGCTGGAGCGATGGTACAGTGGGTAACACGCTTACACACACGCGGTGGACCCAGGTTTGTTCCACGGCACCCCATGTGGTCCCCTGAGCCCATCAGAAGTGATCCCTGAGTGCAGAGCCAGGAGTGAGCCCTGAGCACTGCAGGGTGTGAGCTAATACAACAGGGAGGGCGCAGATGACCCAAGGTCGATATCAGGCAGGCCATATGGTCCCCTGAGCCCACCAGAACTAACTGCTGAACGCAGAACCAGGAGTAACTTGTGAGCACCATAGGGTGTGGCCCCCCCAAAACCAAAAAAAAAATTAATAAATGATTTTGGAGAAGTCTGTTCACTGAGATTAGTTACAATGGAAAAGAACTGAGTGGCCAGCCCCCTGCCCAGGACAGGAGGGCGGCCACCCACTGTGGGCTATAAATAGACCCTCTCACAGGATGTGTCCATGGACAGAACTCATCCGAGAAGTCAGCTGTCAGAACTGGGGCCCCCTCAGGGGACTGAAGGATGAACAAAGGCAAGTGGGGGCAGGGGAGGGGAAAGGGCGACAGCCTGGAAAATTCATGGAGCGGCTGACAAATGCGTGCACATTCCTGCAGTGTGTGCGTGTCTGCGAGGCGTCCGTGAAAGCATGTTCTTGAAGGCTCGGTGCTCAGGGGAAAAAAATAGAATCTGAGAACACACGCTGACGGCAGAGTCTGTGTGTGGCCTAGAAAAAGACAGGAAGGGGGCCGGAAGGGCAGGATAGGGGGTGGGGTGTGATCCAGGTTCGATCCCTGGCACCACTTCGGGTCCCCTGTGCCTTGCCAGGACCAATCACAAGAACAGAGCAGGCCAGGCAGGAGTCAGCCCTGAGACCAGCGGTGGCCCCAGAAACCAAAAAAGAAAAACAGCCGTGGTAGTGACCAGCCTGCCAGGCTGACGTGAGACAGGATTTCACAGCTGTCTGTGCTTTTTCTGGATGGCTAAGTATACGTGGAGCTCTCTACCCGGGGAGGGGCGAGGGGCAGTGGCGGGTACAGTGCTGGGCAACATGGAGCTGCACCTCCTAGTGCAAACTCACACACACACACACACACACACACACACACACACACACACACACCCTCTCTCTCTCTCTCACTCACTGAAGGGATCGGTTTGGGTTTGGGGCTACAGCTGGCAGTGCTTCAGTGCTCACTCCTGGATCTGCACTCAGGAATCACTTCTAGTTGGGCTCAGGGGGACCCTCTGGGGTTCTGGGGATTGAACTAGTATGTGTCCGGTCCTGCTAACTGGAGGTTCTTGAACGATGTCATTTGTTACAACGTGGACCGTGGCATTTCATGTCCGTGACCTCACCTGACCCCAGGACAACCCAGCAGGCAGTACAGCTCCTAGTTCTCTAGGGCTCCTAAGAACCCTGGGCCACTGTGCTCCACTACTCAGAGGAAAATTGCAGCAGCAGCATCTGAGCGCCTCGCCCGTATCTGGGGACCGTGCGGACGGAAGCCAAGTCTGAGACATTCTGATGACGGGGCTGGGACTGGGCAGGGCGGGCTCCCTGTTCCCGGCAGGCACTGTGGCCAGGCTGCGGGGGAGGAAAGGTCCCTCCTGGAGGAGGAGAACGGCCAGCACTGATGGCTGCCCTGAAGCCACGAAAGGCACAGGGAGTGTGGGAGCAGCCTCCCTCAGCCGAGCTCTCCCCAGAGAACTGAACTGGGCACTTTACCATGCCCCTCCTGACTTCCTCCCCCCTCCCTCCCCACCTGTGACAGTTCCAGCCAGGCCCACATGGTGGCCTGGTCCAGGCGCTACCTGTCCTGCAGAGGTATGGTGGGGAGGAAGGCACCGAGAGAACCCACGCACCTAGGGCCAGTCCCTTCTGTGGCTACACCCCTGTTTTGTCCCTGACCCAGCCCAGCTCCTCCACATACAGCCCTGCAGGGACCCCAAAGGTGGGGTCGACAAAGCTCCTACAGGCCAGCAAAGAAGCGCCGCCTGGGAAGCCACACGTGGGGATGTAGCAGGAAGCGGGTGGCCGGGTCCTGCCTCCAGGGAGCCCAGGGCCCGTGCAGGGGTGCCTCATTTCTAGGAGCCCAGAGCAGCCCAGGACAGCGAGTGGAACTGCAGCCACAGGACTGGACACTGGCCCAAGGCAGACGAGATGGACAGGAAGCCATAAGCATGCCTCATGTGGACAGCACACAAGGGCACCCGCATCAGAAGCCCTTGATCCTTCTATATGGTAACCTGAGTGGACCAGGGGGAGCCAAGGGTCTTCTTGGAAGAGTTGACACCCCAATTCTGGGAGGAAGGAGGGGTTGCACCATTAACCCCAGGTCAGGACACTAAGGGGGATGGACTGAGGCACTCACTCAGGCCACAGGGTGCCAGGGTTGGTGGCCAGGTGAGACCAGGGCCAGCCTGGGGCTCTTCTACCCTGACACCAAAACTAAGCCAAAGCCTCGAGACCAGGCCTGACTCCCTTCCCAGTGCTCCTGTATCAACAGCTTGGGAAAAGCAGGGGCAGCAAGGAGACAGCCTGGTACCCTGTGGCTGTGGGGACCGCCAGGGACCCCTCAGTAAGCCCATTCCCTGCTGGCACTCACCCCAGAAGCTTGCTGTGATCCAGCTGATGGCTTGGAGGCATGCGGCAGGCACTGAACACAATGATCTTCCGGCCATACTTGTCGTCCCCTGGGTGTGGAGACAGAGGGGTGTGAGGACTTGATGAGGAAGGCAAGAACCTTCGGGCCTTGGGGTCCTGGCCCAGAGTAGCTGCCTGTGTTCAGGGCACGTCACCAACAACAGAGGGAACAGGGTCACTGACAGTGACCCGGGTCTAAATAATCTGGCTGGGGCTGGAGACACTGTTCAATGGGCCGTGCACTTGTTTTGCCCAAGTTCAGTCCCCGGGTCCATCCCCAACAGCATATACAGTTCCTGCCAGAAGTCAGCCCCTAGCACGGCCAGATGGGGGCCCCCCAGACGCAAATAACTGGAATAACCTGACTGCGGCTGATACTGGGGACAGCCCAGTGGTCCGGGCAGTAGCTCTGCATGCAGCTGATCCAGGGTCCAACCCCAGCACATACGTTCCCTGGAGTCCAGAGCCAGGAACAGGCCCCCTCGCACTGCTGGATGGGGCCCCCAGAGCCAAAACAATCTTGTTGTTGTTTTGGGGCCACACCCAGTGAAGCTCAGGACTTACTCCCGACTCTGCACTTGTCCAGAAGGTGCTCAGGGGACCATATGGGATGTTGGGGATCGAACCTGGGTCAGCACAGGCAAGCACCCTACCTGCTGTGCTATCAGCCTGGCCCCCAAGTACCATTTTTTAAAAAATAAATAAATAAAAGTCAAGCCTAGGGAGACAACCCTCAAGTTCATCATAGGAGGAATGGAGAGAGAGAAACATGTAGGTTTTCCAGCCAGGAAGTCATCCCTGGGGAGCAGGCGTGTCACCTGGCACCAGCACTTCCTCCCCACCCCCACCCCACCTAGAACATGTCCAAGTGCTGTCCTAAACATGGTCAATCCCCTGTGAACATGAACACAGGCACCAGGACCCTGTGAGGGGCAAGTTCAATGACCACAGGTGACTGAGTGGCACAGTGGGACCCCCTGCCAAGGCCTACACTGATAGGCAGGAAGTGACCACTGGGTGTGGACTCTATTAAAATAAGAAAAATCACAAGATTTATCCTCTGGAAACTTCCAGTTCAGGAGTGTCATGTTCATTCACAGCTTGGTGCCAACATTACTTCTAGCTGCTCCCAAAAATGCACCTTCGGGGCTGGAGAGATAGCACAGCGGGTAGGGCGTTTGCCTTGCACACAGCTGACCCGGGTTCGATTCCCAGCATCCCATATGGTCCCCTGAGCACCGCCAGGAGTGATTCCTGAGTGCATGAGCCAGGAGTGAGCTCTGTGCATCGCAGGGTGTGACCCAAAAAGCAAAAAGAGAAAAAAACCAAACAAACAAAAAAATGCGCCTTCTCCTCAGTACTGGGAGTACATCCCTGACCCGGATGCACCACTTCCTCCTCCATGCTGCCTGCTGGCCCGACCAGTCAGGCTGCACGTTTGCTCTCTGCTCCGCCTCCCGTGCACAGCTCGGACGGGTCCGGTCATGCGGCAGTCACCTGCGCCAGCCTTCTCTTCCTGGCGAGTTTCTGAGGCTTGTTGATGACAAAAATGTCTCCACGCCTCATTCCTCTTCTCTGGCCGGACACATCATTGCACCACTACTACACTGTCTTTTTTTCTTTGGGGGGGTGGGGGTGCGCATTCCACTCTGGAACTGCCTGTACTTCAGCCCGAGATGTACAATTCCCTTCTTCTGTTTTCTGTTTTGGTTTTGGGGGCCACTTCTGGAGGTGCTCAGGCTTATTCCTGGCAGGGCTCGGGAAAGCAGACATCGTGCTGGGGATTGAACCCAGCTGAGTAACCCACAAGGCATGCGCCCTACCCACCTTATTATCTCTCCCGCCCTGACAATTACTTTCTTTTACTCCATGACACTCCCTCTCTCCTTTTCTCTCCTCTCGGAGACCCTTAAATAAAACTACCTTGCTTCTCTGGGGCTGGAGCAATAGCTCAGTGGGTAGGGTGTTTGCCTTGCACGTGGCCGACCCGGGTTCAATTCCCAGCATCCCATATGGTCCCCTGAACACTGCCAGGAGTGATTCCTGAGTGCAGAGCCAAGAGTAACCCCAATAGCACAACAGGGAGGGCATTTGCCTTGCACACAATGAACCGGGTTTGATCCCCAGCACCACCTATGATCCCCTAAGCCCCATCAGGAATGATCCCTGAGCACAGAGTCAGGAGTCATGTCTGAGCACTGTCGGCTATGACCCTCCCCCACAACAAAACATCAACCATGTTCAAGTGTCAATCACTGGTGATGTGAGTCTTTTTAGGCCAGCAGCGCCTCCCGCCACCACCTCACCCCAGCTTACCCCACTTCTAGCTGCTCCCAAAAATGCGCCTTCAGGGCTGGAGAGATAGCACAGCGGGTAGGGCGATTGCCTTGCACGCGGCTGACCCGGGTTTGATTCCCAGCACCTCATAGGGTCCCCTGAGCACCGCCAGGAGTGATTCCTGAGTGCATGAGCCAGGAGTAACCCTGTGCATCGCCAGCTGTGACCCAGAAAGCAAAAAAAAAAACAAAAAACAAAAAAAAATGCGCCTTCTCCTCAGTACTGGGAGTACATCCCTGACCCGGATGCACCACTTCCTCCTCCACGCTGCCTGCTGGCCCAACCAGTCAGGTTGCACATTTGCTCTCTGCTCCGCCCCCCAAATCGAGGCAGAGGCACTGGCCCTTTCCACCAGGGCTGAGGCAGGGCACAGGGGATAAGAAGTTTCAGCAATGCTGCTCCCCACCCTCTGCCATGACCAGCCCCCTACGGGTCCTTCCAATCCTCCCATCTCTCTGGCCAGGACTGGCCAAGTCTGGTCCAGGGAGGGAGGGTGCAAGGCTCCGCCCAGCAAACCCAGGATGGCTGGGGGGTGTTTCGCTCCCATCCGGGAGGACACATCCCTATACCCGCATACCCACCCAGCTCCCCTCGAGCCTGCCTCCAGGCCTCTCCAGCTCATGCTGTGGCCACCCCGGGTCATCAGCTCTCCCTGGCGAGGCTGCGCCCCTTTCCAGCCTCTCTCCCACTCACCCAGGCAATGTCTCCTCCCAGAAGTCTGTGCCTTCTGCTTCCCACCTGGCCAGGCAGTCACCCCTTCTGGTCGTCCCAGATGGACTGATGCCCATTCATGTCCTGACACTGTCCTGATTATGGGTCCATCTACTCTGCTGGCGGGGGGTGGGGGGAGCATGGGGCGGGGCAGCCTGAACACAGAAACTGTCTCTCAGCCACCTGGGACTCGCTCCTGCTGGCCTAGAGCTCAGCTTGTCACAGGGTCCCACGAGAGCCTGAAGCGTGAATGCAGTCACTGGCAGTGTCATGACAACTTGGAGTTTGATTCCCTCCTCCTTTATTGTTTGATGGTGCCAGGGATTGAACCCAGAGTGTCACCCAGGCCAGACATGTGCCCTCCTGCTGAGCCAGCCCTTAGTGTGAGAGTGAGACTTCTCCCAACATCCAGGTCACCAGATTGCTACAAACAGGGGGGTCTCACGGGGCCTCACACAGAATCTTCTAGACTCACAAGCAGAGATGTAGCCCTGGGTAAACCTGTCAGTGTCAGTGAAGGCGAGGGGGGCTGCTCTGATGTATCTACCTGGCAGTGCCAGGGAAGGGACCCAGGGCTCAGGGCTCAGACACGCAGCTCGCCCTCCCCTGGGCCAATCGGAAAGGCTAATTTGGAGTCTTCCACTTCCTTTCACCCACTCAAGATGGGGGTGGGGGGCCAGAGCGATAGTAAAGCAGGTAGGGCATTTGCCTTGCACACGGCAGACTCAGGTTCCAACCCTGGCACCACATATGGTCCCCTGGGCACCATCAGGAGCCAGGAGTGATGCCCGAGCACAGCGCCAGGTCTTGGCCGTGAACACCACTGGGTGTGTCCCACAAACAAAAACAAACAAGATGGGCTCTTGCCAGGCCAGCTGCACAGGGCCCTGGGGTCTGCTTGGCTTCACCCAGAGATTCTGAGGGAGGACAGAGCGGATGGTCAGGGATAGAGTCAGACAGGACAACCCAGGCTCAAAGCCAAATCAGGCCCGCAGACCCCCTGGGTACCAGCCTGTGTGGGCAGGGGCCAGGGGAGTGGAAATGCCAGACGTGGGGGATGTGAGAGGAGCGCGGGGGAGCCCCAAAGTCTCCTTCCGCCCTGCCCCCAGCTGCACCCAGCCTCTGCACTGGCAGATTTGTAGGCAGGTGGGGTGGAGGGCTGAGCTCACTCGCTCCGGAATTTCAAGAGCTGCTAACTGGTAACCATTGAAGCATGCAGCTGGGGCAAGGACCTGCAGTTGGGCGTGCCGTCTCGCCATGCTTCCTGCAAACCCCCTAAATGAGAAGCTGTTTTCCCAGCCAGCAGGGCACCCAATGCCCCTACGCCATCTGAGAAGCGTTCGAAGCAGCCACACATGTCATCCGGGGCAAGAGGGCCGCCCTGAGCACATCCTCCATGTGGTTGACGTGCTCCCCGCCACAGCTCCTCCGTGGACTCCCTGAGCCCCTGAGGCTGCTGACCATGGGCTGGCTCCAGAGAACGTTGGAGGCAGTCAGGATGGGGTCAGGGCAGGCGAGGGACCCGGGTGGGGCTGTCTGGCCAGGCTCCCAGATCCCGGGGTGGGGACGGGCGGGCGCGCTCTGGGCAGCCCTCGCCTCCCTGGTCCGGAGGCCCAGTGCCCCAGTCCTTGGCTGGCAGGCAGGACACTTCCCAAGGCCCTGAAGTCCCCTCTGGGTCCTGTAGAGAGCAGCACGCTGCCCGACAGACAGGCCCCAGGCCCGGGAACCTGGAAAGCACCAGGAAAGATGCCGGGAGTTAATCAACAACAGAATGGGGAGCTGGGGGGGTGGAGCGGACATTCAGGACATTCTGGGAAAGAGCAGAGCGCGGCTGGCTCCCAGCCCCACCCCCAACCTGCAGGCAAGAGACAGTGGCCCCCTGTACCCCCCTCTCCCCCAGCCCACCCCACCCCCATCACACTGGTTAAAATGTTCAACTGTCAGAGATGGGGCTGGCAGACATGGTGTTAGGGTTTGAAATCCGCTGGGGGAGAAACTGGATCCACAAATAACAGCCTTTTCTGCCATTCCGGAGGCACCCTGGGAGCTGGTTCCCAGCACCCCCGGGAGGAGCCCCTGGGCCAGGTCACTCTGGGCCATGGGGCCTGATAAAGGCCACAGGAGGCCGCAGCGGGGGCGGTCCATGCCCCTCCAACCCTGCAGGGTGTGTCTCTGGTTCTCACACTCAGGACACTGGCCTTCTCGGGCTCCCCAGGGGCACTGTCTACCCAAGCTCCTTGGCAGTCAGAGAGCCAAGAGGGAACTCCTGGCCCCTGCCCTCAGGGGTGCATGCAAGTCCCCACACGGCCTCTTTGGCTCCTTCCGGCTCCCACAAATGGGGTGCAATTCAGCTGGCCCCACCTCCTGAGGCTGGGATTCGCAGTCGGCCTGAGGGACACCTCTCCCCTCCCTGACCAGTGTGTTCTGGCTGCAGAAGGAAGTGGGGTTGGGGGGTCACCCAATGGGGCTTGCCTGCTGGGCCTTCAGACTGGGCTGGCCGGGCCAGAGGATGCCAGGACAGGCGCCTCGTCACCTCAGACACCCTGAGCAGGTTGTCTCAGGGGAGCTGGGGGCTGAACCTTCAGAGGTTGTCATAGCCCAGCCAGCACCCTGAACCTTGAGTGGGGGGAGACAGGGGACAGGGACACACATGACATTGCTGTGGACAGTCCTTGGACCTGAGGATGAGGTGCTGCCCTTCAGCTCTGAGCCCCACATTCCCGGGAGACGGTGCTCCCTCCCCCTCAGCCCGCAGCACCCCGGCTCCAGGGTTCTGGTGCTTCCTGGATTCCCTCCCCAACTCCTCTCCCTGGCTGTCCACTCCTGACCTCAGGAGCCACGGGTGGGGGTGGGGAAGACCATGGGTTTGATGATTCCAGTTTCCTCTCACAGCAGGGTGCAGGGTGAAAACAGACCTCCCCCCCACTCCCCATCTCAGCTCCCCCTGTCCCCAGTACCCCTGGCCGCTGGCATCTGTGGGTACTGCAACACAAGAAACTTGGGGCTCACAGACAGCGACACCCAAGGGGGATGCAGAACCCTCTTTGTAGGGGAGCACTTCTGCAGGGAGTCATAGGCTCCCAGGGGTCACACAGCCCCTCTCTTCCAGAAGGCCACTCGGCCAATCTCCACTTTCTGGGAACGGGGGTTTCCCAGGGCCCTCCTGGCTGCCCAGGCAAGGAAGAAGGGGAGCAAAGGGAAGGGAGGGAGGTTGGGGACACTCCTTGGGGCCAGCTCTGCTCTGGGCTGAGCCTTGACACATCAGGATGGGGGTCCTCTCTGGCCCCTGGGAGAGGCGGGTGAGCAAACAGCAGAGCTGGGCACGGACTGAGACAAGCCACTTGGCCACACTCCTCCCTCTGCACCACGGGTCACAGGCTGGGCGGGCTGCATGGAGCAGACCACACGGCCAGCACAGTACAAGAGGCTGGGGCCCCGCTCCCGAGGATGCTGGGGATGAAACTTGGGGCTCTGGCACACAGAGCATGTGCTCCAGCCCTTGCTTGAGCCACTTGGTCCTGGGGGCTTCCAGGGCCACGACCTCGTGGTGCTAGGGATCAAACTCAGGGCTTGCCCACACAAGGCCTGCACCCCACCTCACCTGTTTAACTTCTCTCATGACCCCATAAAACAAGTGGTTTTAAAGAAGGGAACCCCAGGCCCGGGGCCAGAACACAGCACGGGGTGCTGCCCCTCGCCACCCTTTCCTCTGGGCTGGCCTAGGGGGCCCACAGGGGAGACTGGAGTGGGGGGCTGGGTCTGGGGCTGGACTGGGGCTGTCTGGTGTAGGGATTACAGTGGGGGACTGCAGTGGGGGGCTAGCCGGTATGGGGGCTGTCTGAAGTAGAGGGCCAGGGTAGGGGTCTGTCTTTAGTGGGGGCTGTGGTGGGGGCTGGCTGCCCCACAGGAGCGAGGCTGTGGGGTCCACAGTTAGGGCACTCACCTGCCACCTCCACTATCTGGTGCCGGGCGATGTCGTAGTAGGGGTCGTCCCACTTCAGGTGTGTCACGGGCTCTGGGGAGCTGCTTTTGGAGTCATCTGAGGAGAGTGGGAGAGTCAGGCGGGGCTCGCCCAGCATTCTCTCGGCGGCCTGACAATACACCAGGAGGGCAGGCTCCAGCCCCACTTGGGGGCCCCCTGTTCCCCTGCAGCAGGAAGGAAGGGGTCCCCCCAGGAAGGCACCCGCCCACCTGACTTGGGGAAGTCGGGCAGCTCGTCCGAGGGCCAGTTCTTCTCGTTGATGGACGCTAGCTTGAGCTGGTTCAGGGCCTCGCTGGTATCAGATAGTGTCAGGTCATCCTGCAGCTCCGAGAGCGGGTCCATGGCCAGTCTGTGCCCCAGCCTCACCCTGCAGAACCTGAGGAGAAAGCTGACAGGGGTGGGCCATCAGCGACTCTCTCTTCCCCTGACTTCTCAGCAAGACCCCTGCAAAACACACACACACACACACACACACACACACACACACACACACACACACACCCCTGCCTGTCAGCTCTTAGGGGAGGGAGCAAGTCACCATGTACACATGTGCAGGTGTGTATACACACACATACATACACACACACACACACACTGTGTTTTTTTGCTTTTTAGGTCACACCCAGCGATGCTCAGGGGTTCCTCCTTGCTCATGCACTCAGGAATTACTACTGGTAGTGTTTGGGGAACCATTTGGGATGCTGGGAATCAAACCCGGATTGGCCGCGTGCAAGGCAAACGCCCTACCTGCTGTGCTATCATTCCAGCCTCCCCCCCGCCCCCCTGCCACACTCTTGCCTGTCCGTCAGTTCTGAGGGGAGGAAGAGTCACCCTGTACACACACACACGCACACACACACACACACACACACACACACACACACACACGCGCTCGCGCGCATGCATGCACCTCCCGGGGCACCCTGGCCCTGCTCCTCCACTTATTCCGACCAAGATGCCATCTGCCTCCAGGGCCTCCTCACTCACCACCAATGGGCACCGGGCCAGAGACAGCAGCTGAGGCAGAGCAAAGCATGCTCGGGCCTGCCCTCAGGTCCACCAGCTGCGAGGGAAGAGCCGGGCCGAGGGAGGCCTTGAGTCCCAGCCACAGATCTGGGGAGATGGTCCTGGGGGACTATGGAAGGTTCCTGAGGCGCCATAACCCTGATCAGGTGAGACCTGGCTCCCACACCCCAACCCTGATCCATGAAGAAGAGGTGACCCCAGGCCATAGCAGGGAATCCAACCTGCTCACTGGGGATGGGAACTGGGTGTGGGGGTAGAATGTGGGGCTCCCAGGCCTGTACAACTCTACCCCCTGAGGCTGGTTCCAGGAGTACAGGGTCAGTAGGCTTCCCGCAGACTGTGCAGATGTGACAGGGGAAGCCCATGACAGAGAGCACTGCAGAACCCGAGGTGGAAAAGGAAACAGCAGCAACAGGATTCTGACAGGGTTGGAGAGTGTCAGAGAGGGTGTGACAGGGTGTGATGGGGTCTGAGAGGGTCTGTTCAGGGTCTGTCAGAGCCTGACAGGACCTGACAGCATCTGACAGGGTTGGAGAGGGTCTGACAGGGTCAGAGATGGTCTGACAGGATCTGAAAGAGACTGACGGGGTCTGAGAGGGTCCAACAGGGTCTGAGAGGGTCGGAAAGAGTCTGAGAGGAGCTGAAAGGATCTGAGAGAGGCTGAGAGGGTCTAGATAGGATCTGACAGGTCTGTCTGACAGGACCTGAGAGGGGCTGACAATTTCTAACAGGGTCTGAGAGGGTCTGGTGGAGTCTGACAGAATCTGGAGTTTCATGGGGTCTGACGGGGTCTGTGACAGGGTCTGACAAAGCCTGGCAGAGTCTGACAGGATCTGCCAGGACCTGGCAGAGTCTTCCAGGGTCTGAGAGGGCCTGAGAGGATCTGACAGAGTCTGATGGGGGCGTGGCAGAGTCTGTGAGGGGCTGAGGGGGGGCTGAGGGGGGTAGGAGGGGGTCTGACAAGGCCTGACGGGGCCTGACAGAGTCTATAGAGGGGTTGAGAGGGGCTGAGAAGGTATGACGGGATCTGAGGGGTTCTAACAGGATCTGATGGGGCCTGACGGGGTCTGACAGCATCTGACAGAGGTCAAAGCCTGGAATCTAGGTGGCAGCTGGCACGGCATGGATCACACCCCTGGCACTCAGCCCTCAGGAAAGCAAATCTCCCCTCAAGGGGGCCCGGCAGGGGCACTTCAAGTTGTCCACTCAGTCCAACCCCTGAGAAGAGGCTGTGCTAAACCCACTGCATTCCCAGAGCCCAAAAAAAGACATATATGGTCAGAGAATCGGCAGTTTGCAGATAAGAAGCACCGACAAGACCCAGGCGCTTGTGGAGAGAAGAGGGGAGAGCAGCCAGCTGAGAGCTAGATCCCAACACCTCAGGGCTTCCAAGAACCATGACAATCTCGGCAACCCCGGGGTCCCAGTGCCTAGCAACAACCGCCTGCTTCAGGGCGGCCACACAGCGTCAGCGGCAAAGGCGGCCACCAGCAAGTGAACCAAAGCTGTTCCGTCCAAGAGAAACACACACACACACACACACACACTCAGACACACCGTCTCACACACACTCCTCATACACAGACTCAGACACTTACACTCACACACACTCATGCACTCTCAGGCACATACACTCTTACACACTCTTCGTACACATTACATTCACACCCACGCACATTCACTCATCATACACTCACATAATCACACTCATACACTTACACACTCACCACTCCTTATACACTCACTTTCTCACACTCATACTTTTACTCACTCTCACAAACTCACATGCACTCACTCACATTCACGTACTCATTCCTCATACACACTAACACACTCTCTCACACACCCTCATACACTTATACTCCTCAGACCGTCAAACACATATTCACACATTTATTCCACGTACACACATTCACATGCTCATTCCTCAGACACACTCACACATATACACAATGTACGGACTCATAAACACACAGTCCTCATATACACTCACACTCAAAACACACATACTCCGCACACACACCCTCTCCTTCCTCACCCTGTACCTTAGGGGCGAGCCCTATCTGCTCCCCCTTATAACCGAAACCTCCGTCCCCTTCCAAGCTCAGAGATGAGTCTCTCTCCTTGCAGAACGCCTATCTGTAAGGGCTGTGGGATCACTAAGCCTAATCCTCCAACTTCTCAATGCGGGACCCCCTGGTCTCAGGGTCCCCACTCCATCTGCTACAGACACCTCTCCACTCAACCAGCAGACTCTGAAGGTTCCTCAAGGGGCCCCTAGCCAGGTTACAGGAACAATATTCAGCTCCAGGTTATCCAATTCAGGCTCTGAATGTTCTATCACTGCTCAGGCCTCAAGAAATCCTTCTGCCCTGCCCACAGTCATCCAGGAAAAGTCCTGTCCACCCCCGCCCCCCCGGGGGGGGGGGAGGACTGGAGCGATAGCACAGCAGGTAGGGTGTTTGCCTTGCACGCGGCTGACCCAGGTTCAATTCCCAGCATCCCATATTGTCCACTGAGCAGGAGTAATTTCTGAGTGCAGAGCCAGGAATAACCCCTATGCATCATCGGGTGTGGCCCCCCCAAAAAAGTCCTGCCCTCAAATAGAAGTCTGAGGCATCGAAAAGGCATGGGAAGATCAAGTCTGCATCCTAAACCATGTGTTTCAAAGAGGCTGAATAGAGACAGAGACAGAGAGAGAGAAAGAGAGAGAGAGAGAGAGAGAGAGAATATGAGTGTGGGCAAGGCCTTTCCTATCTGGAAACATCCTCCCTCCCCTCACTTGGAGAAGTGCAGTTACCTGCAGCAGTGTGAATTCTCCCACTGCCACACACTGTGCTGAGGGGCTGGAGGATAGTATAACAGCATGAGGTAAGGTACTTGCCTTGAACAAGTTGACCCCGGTTCAATCCCAGGCACCACAGAGGGCCCCCTCAGCACTGCCAGGCATGATCCCTGAGCACAGCACCATGAGCAAACCCTGAGTATGCCCTCCCCCCGCCAAAAAAAAAAAACAACAAAATTTCTTTGTTGAAAGAAGCAACAGGATGAGGAGCAGTCACTGGGAATTGCAGATATGTCACAGAGAGAGAGGGATTCCCCCCCCCCAAGCAGGGAGCTCAACTTGAACTGCACCTCCTCCTTTTTTCGGGGGGGGGGGGGGAAACTCTCCCCCATCCCCCAACTAGTGGCCTGTGAGTATTCAGGGAGAGTTGAGCCCTCCCCCACCTCAGAATCTCCGGCAGCCTAATTTACCAGTGGTTCTCACCTTTCACTAGCCTCTCTCCCCACCCTCAAATCCGCACCTGTTACCCCAAAGCTTAGTGCCACATTCCCTGGGAAGCAAGAGAAGGGGGTGGGGGTGGGGGAATTGTTGGGGGAGGGGAGGGAGAAATCCAGCAGAAGGAAATTCTACCGGAAGGGAGTAAAAACAAAATACCCCAGCCACCTAGTAAAAACAAAATACCCCAGTCACTGTGAGTTCAGCTCCACTCTGTACAACACTCTAAAGTGAGGTTCAGTTTCCTTCTCAATAGGTAAAGCAGCTCACTCTAGAAACATCTTTGGGAATCACTTTAGGTAGAGGTGATGACTTTGGGAAGTCCTGGGCTTCTCCAAGATCTTGACAAAATTGGCAGACTTTCTCCCCAGCTATGGCTGGATAGCTCCGTCCCTCTCGGAGAGCCCAGCAAGCTACCGAGACTTTCCCGACCACATGGCAGAGCCTGGCAAGCTCCCCATGGCGTATTCAATATGCCCAAAACAATAACAACAAGTCTCACAATGGAGACGTTACTGGTCCCCACTCGAGCAAACTGATGAACAATGGGAGGACAGTGCTACAGTGCTTCCTCCAAAAAAGGATTGGCACATGCATGAAATCTTGCATGCAATTAAAGGGGGGTGTGTGTCACAGACTCTCTAAGAACCCATTTAAGAACCCCAACCTATTCAGCACACAGTAGGTACTCTATCACTATTTGCTGAATGGGTAAAAGAACCAATGAATCGCCAAAGAGAAGGGCAGAACCAACTTTTGTTGAAAACCTACACAGCACCATTAACCAGACATAACTTCAAGTGTTACAATACCACCAGTGGCAAATGCACTGCTGGACTCATTTAACAACGCTACTCTTTTACAAGGAGGGTGGGGGGAGGAGATAGGAAAGAAATTGCTTAGGAAAACAAAAAAAGAATTTACTTAGGGTCATAGAGCAGAGCCAAGGATTTACCACCCTGTGGGGGCTGGAGACATATCGGCAGGTATGGTGCTTGCCTTGCGCCCAGCCAAACCAGGTTTGATTTCAGGCACCCCAGAGGATCTCCCAAGCCCCTCAGGAGTAATTTCCTGAGTGCAGAGCCAGGAGCAAGGCCCAAGTACCTGTGGACATGTGTCCCCTCCACCCCGCCTCTTAAACATTTTTTTTAAAACCACATGTCTAAGTGACTTGTCATTGTCGGATTCTCAAGGTTCAGGGAGGTGCAAAGGGGACGGAGGTTTCGGTTATAAGAGGGAGCAGATAGGGCTCGCCCCTAATCTCAGCTCTCCCTTCCCCTAATCTCTTCCCTGAAGAACTGAGAAAACCTGAAATGGCATTTTCTGCACCCAACGCTCTCTTCCCCTTGGGGTTCCAGAACCGCAACATCCCGCCTAGAGCAGCAGGACTCCCGGCGACCATCACAACCGCATAGAGTTTCGTGGTTTACGAAACCCAAGCTGGGTGTCATTATCCCATTTCACGGATGAAGAAACAGAGACACGGGCCCGAAGAGCTAGTAGGACAGAGGGCAGGGCACTTGCCCTGCACCCGGTCAACCTGGGTTTGATCCCCAGCGCCCCATATGGTCCCCTGAGCCCCACCAGGAGTTGATTCCCTTGAGCGCTGGACCAAGAGTGAGCCCTAAGCATTGCCGGGACGGATCCCGCCCCGCGGAAACAAACAAACAAAAACAAAAACAGAAGAAACAGAGATGGAAGCGGGGCCTATCTACGGGACGGTCCCCGCCCCTCCCCGATTTCTCGTTCTGAGCATTTCACCCGACTGGAACAGAGATTGTGCCAAGAGGTGGGACTCCGCGCTGGGGCGAGCAGGAGGAAAAAAGGCAGCAGAGGCGGCGACGAGCTCTCACTGCAGCCCCGGCAAGGCCAGGCGCCGAGGGCCCCATCCCACCGGATCCTTCGGCCCTTCGCCCCCAACCCATCCCTCCGGATGAGAGCCTGACCAGCCCCTGGCGTCCCAGCACCCGAGCCCAGAGCAGCTCACCGAAGTCGGCTCGACTCCCTCCGCCACGCCTGTCACGGCTCGGCTACGGGGCTGACATCCGGCCGGGCGCCCGAACGGGAACCGCCCCCTCCCAGTTCCCTCAGCCTTCGCGAACCACTTCCGCCACACCTCCGACCCTCCGCCCGGCCGCCGCCGGATCCCAAGCGCGCCCCGCGGAAGCCCCGCCCACTTCCGGCACCTCCCCGCCCCGGGGCTGCCGTAGAGGCGGAAGGGGAACGTTAACCGTCCGCCGCGTCCGCCGCCACCCCTTCTCCCCCGCAGAAGGTGGTGGTCGCCGCTCTTGGTTCCGCTTCCCCGCCACCCGGCTCTCTGGGGAGATGCTCCGGAATCCCAGTTTCTTACTCTACCCCCAGCCCCAGAGTTGTGCCTCGCTTGTATTGCCCACCCGCCCATCCGCCTTGGTCCCGGACACCAATGAGTGTGACGCTTAGGATTCGTTCTGCTGAGGAAACGTACCCGTCAAGGACTGTTTCCGGGAGGAGCTGCGAAGGCGACGCTCACTTCCGGCGGGAGAAGTCTTCCTGAGCCGGCGTGGAGGAGGGCGAGGCGTCGTTGTCGAAGTAGGAGAGAGGCCAGTTAGGTGAGGGACCTGCGGCGTTTCCGGCCGTGGGCGCTGGCCCTGCCCTCGACTCTCTGCTCCTGCGGCGCCCTCCGTCTCTCGGGGCTTTCTCGAACGCCCTCGAACCCCACCGAGCCTCCCCTCACTCTAACCCGTGCGGCCCCCTCGGCCTCTGCGGACCGTCCGTTCGCACCCGCCGCTTCCTCTCGCGTCTCCCCGTCTCCCCGCAGCCCCCCGGCCGCGCCCACCCAGGCCCTCGTCGCTCTCCAGAATCTCCTCCCCGGGCCTGGCCCTGGGTCCCTCTGCCGCCGAGCAGCAACTCCTGGGGGGGGGGTTTGGTGTGTCGGGGAGCCCCTGCAGCCGGGACAGCTCTGGGGGCCGCTGGAAGAGGCGTGTGTCTCTGAAGGGCGGCCAGAGGAGGCCTGGAGGAACGGGGGATCCTCTCGGATCGGAAATTGGTTAAAAGGTTCAGACGTTTCCTGACCCCCTCCCCCACCCCCCACCCCCCCCCCCCCGGATGCTTTGAAGCGGCAATACGGAGTCATAACAGTGTGGGATTTTGGCCCTTCAGTTTCTGCTCACTGGACCTTAAGAACTCGCAATGCGAAACATTGTTAAAAGTTGGGTTAGGATAGGGGTTGCAGCGATAGCACAGTGGGTAGGGCGTTTGCCTTGCAGCGCCGACCCGGGTTTGGTTCCCAGCATCCCCATAGGGTCTCCCGAGCACCGCCATGAGTGTTTCCTGACTGCAAAGTCAGGAGTAACCCCTGCGCATCGCCGGGTGTAACCCATAAGCAAAAAAAAAAAAAAAGAAAAGTTGGGTTAGGACAGTGGTCAGCAGCGATCAGGGTCAAGAGCAGAAATTTGGGGGATTAGAAGCCCTTGGGAAAAGGGAATAAAAATCCCAGTCTAATCTCTTGCCTAGTTCAGTGGCCCTTTCGTTGTTCCTCTCTCTGTTCAATATCCTTGGCCTTTGCTTTACTTCCCCAGAGTTCTTTGGAGGAATCCTGAACTGCCGGTAGAGACCATCATTGCGTAAAGATTCCCGTTATCCCTTTCCCCCAAATGATGTTCCTCTGCCACCTGTGCTCCTCTGGAAGGAGGAATGGGTGTTTTTTAGTCCTTCAGGTTTTGGTGAGGGGGGTTTGTGAGGACAGTCGTTTGAGTCTTTCCCGAATGAGAAGTTAACAAAGTTCTGCAGAAATAGAACCAGGGCAGGGAAAGGGGTTGAGGGAGGTGGAGGGATAGTACAGTGGGTAGGGCTCATGCCTTGCACGCACCGACCTGGGTTTAATCCCCAAAGGCCCATATGGTCCCCTGAGCATGGCCAGGAGTAATTCTTGAGTGCAGAGCCAGAAAGAACCCCTGAGCATTGATAGATGTGACTCCAGAAGAGGAAGAAATGGAGCATGTATCTTTTTTTTTTTTTGCTTTTTGCTTTTTGGGTCACACCTGGCGATGCACAGGGGTTACTCCTGGCTCCGCACTCAGGAGTTACTCCTGGCGGTGCTCAGGGGACCATATGGGATGCTGGGAATCGAACCCGGGTCGGCCTCATGCAAGGCAAACGCCCTACCCGCTGTGCTATCTCTTCAGCCCCGAGCATCTATCTTTCAACTGAACACTCAGGAGAGGTGGTCTTGATTTGTTTTTCCTCCCCTGATGCCCTCAGACACATGGAGAAGGACTTTCTTTGCTTTATTTCAGGATGTGCCCATAGGCCATTGGGAAAACGTTGATGCTTATGAGCGGAGCTCAGGCTGGACTAGGTAAGTTCTGGAGCGAGTGTTGGGCGGTCGCTACTTTGAGGCCTTCTCTTATGGCATGGGATGAAATGGGCAGTTGATAGAATTCCCACCTAGATCTTTTGCACTGAGTCTGCCCACGGCCTGTGGTCCTTTTGGACCCTGATGGCTCCTAAGCTGGGAGTTGTCTGGGAGGGCTGCTTGAAGACGCTCTCTCAACTTAGCTGTTGCTCTTGCTTTGTAATTTGGTGCAGCAGAACCGGGTGGAGGTCGAGGGCTGCATGTCCCCTGTGTGGATTCAGGAACGACTCCACCTGCAGTTGTACCAGCTCGGATAGCCGGGCTCTGAGCTGCTTCTGTGGCCAACGCCACCCTTGGGTGGCATGAGCCCCCTGCAGCCCCTGCTCAAGGAAGAGGCAGCCCTTGTGGAGTCCCCCAGAGAAGTGGACATGGGCTCTCCCAGCAAGGAGGAGGCAGACCTTGGCACAGGTACGTGGTGGGTGAATGTGGGCTTCCCCCTTCCCACCCCCCATTCCCCCAGAGACAAAGTCAATCCGATGGGTCTGTGAGCTTTGGAATTACGGAGATATTTCGGTGTAGGCTTGAGGAGTAGGGCTTATTTAGGGTTGACTGCCGGTCATGATAGGGGACACCTTTGGTTTGGTTACCCTTGCAGTGGGCAAATTTTCAGGTAAGAGATTTAAAGACTTTTGGGGGCACAGCGATATAACTCTAAAGGTTGGAGCACTGGTTTGATCCCTGAGCATCCCCAGGTGTGACCCCAAAGTTGAAAAAAGAAGAAAATATTTTGATGTGTAAATTGTCATTTGATGTTTTCTGTTGAGAAATGATAGATCTTTACCTGGGAGTGAACAATAAAGATAATTACTTTTTTTCCGGGGGAGGGGGGACTTGATATTTAAGGGGCTCCCAAGCTGTGCTCAGTGCTCAAGTTAATCCCCGTGATTTTTGGCTGACTGGACCAGGGTTCAACACAGGGCTGGAGGATGCGATGTTGCTGGGGGCCCAGCGGTGTTGGTGATTTCCTGGGCCACCCTAGTGGTGCTTGGTGGGCCATATGCTGGTGGTGGGATCAAACCTGGGAGGAACCCAGGTTTGGTTCCTTATAAAACTTTATAAAACACTTATAAAAAACTTATGAAACTTAACAAAACAAGAGCTTTAATAAACCCCTATGCTATCTCCTCCGCCCCCAAGATATTTGCTGGGACGTGTTTGCGACATTTCCCTCCCTAAGTTTCCTGTTGTAGACAGGAAGCTGTGTACAAAGATTCCAGTTTGTGTTTATAACCAGAGTGAGATGGGGCTGTCTTTGTTTCTCAGTCCAGCTCAGGTGGAAAGTTGATGTTAATGCCTCTTCCTGGTCTCTAGAGGGGGAGATGAAGGGAACCCAGAGGTTGGATTTACTCAGGGATTATCCAGCTCCCAGGGTGTATCCTCAGGAGCTCCTGAGACCGGACAGGCAAATTACACGGTGCCTGGTTCAGACCCAGGGGTTAGGGAACGGGTGTGTGTCCTTATTCCCAGTGAAGTTCAGGGACTGAGGAGGAAGAGATGCATTCCTGGGATTTCCTGGGGACACTCCATCTTCCCCCCTCTCCCAGCGCTGTTCACCCTGGCACCCCATTTGCCTTGCAGATCCTGGCTGCTGGTCACCCCCTGGCATCCAAGCAGTACGTGTGCCAAACTCGGAAGTTGAGGCCCAAGTCCCGGACCAGCTTTCTGGGGCATGCCCACTTCTTGCACCCTCACCTCAGGATAGCGACGCAGACCTGGCAAACTCCCCCCAGCCCCAGATGTCATCTGACTCTCAGGGCAACGAGGCCAGTGCTGCTTCTCCCACCACGGGCACCGAGCTGCCTTCTTCCCCCAACAAGAAGTCCTGTAGCCCCGGTGCCCACAGCCCAGCCAACGGGGAGCCCTTGGAGCCAGGGGCCCAGCGCCCTGACTGTCCTGTGGGCCCTTCTTGCCCAACAGGACGCTCCTCCAGGCAGGGGCGCCAGCACCAGTGTGGGGAGTGTGGCAAGACCTTCCTGCAGCTGTGCCACCTGAAGAAGCACGCTTTCGTGCACACGGGGCACAAGCCCTTCCTCTGCACGGAGTGCGGCAAGAGCTACAGCTCCGAGGAGAGCTTCAAGGCCCACACCCTGGGCCACCGTGGTGTGCGGCCCTTCCCCTGCCCACAGTGTGACAAGGCCTACGGCACCCGGCGGGATCTCACAGAGCACCAGGTGGTGCATTCCGGGGCTCGACCCTTCGCGTGTGACCAGTGCGACAAGACCTTCGCCCGGCGGCCCTCCCTGCGGCTGCACCGCAAGACCCACCAGGTGCCGGCCGCCCCTGCCCCCTTGCCCTGCCCCTGCCCGGTGTGCGGCCGGCCGCTAGCCAACCCGGGCTCGCTGCGCACCCACATGCGGCTGCACACGGGCGAGAAGCCTTTCCTGTGTCCGCACTGTGGCCGGGCTTTCCGCCAGCAGGGCAACCTGCGCGGCCACCTGCGGCTGCACACGGGCGAGAAGCCTTACCGCTGCCCACACTGCAGCGACGCCTTCCCACAGCTGCCCGAGCTGCGGCGCCACCTCATCTCGCACACGGGGGAGGCCCACCTGTGCCCCGTGTGCGGGAAGGCCCTCCGGGACCCCCACACCCTGCGAGCCCACGAGCGCCTGCACTCCGGGGAGAGGCCTTTCCCGTGCCCCCAGTGTGACCGAGCCTACACCCTGGCCACCAAGCTCAGGCGCCACCTCAAGTCACACCTGGCGGACAAGCCTTACCGCTGCGCCACCTGCGGCATGGGCTACACCCTGCCCCAAAGCCTCAAGCGGCACCAGCTCAGTCACCAGCCCAGGGTGCCTGTGTCCCCCGCCCAGGGGTGTCCAGCTGCAGCGGAGCCTGCCATGGTGCTGCTGCAGGCAGAACCCGGCCTGTTGGAATCCGGGGACCGGGGGGGCAGCTCCCTGGCCCAGGACGTCATTGAGGTCACCCTCACTGAGGACCACGGGAAGTGCTTTGTGGTACCCGAGGAGCCAGGGCCACCCTCTAGCCTGGTGCTCATCCACAAGGGCTTCAGCAACTGGGCGGAGGTGGTGGAGGTGGAGGTAGGCACCTGACCCCCCGACCACTCACCAGCCATGGGCTGCCTCCCTGCTGAGGGTGGTCCCTTGTTTCTCAAAACCTAGAAGGTCAACCTTGATTTGAGGTTGGTTTTGGATGGGAGGCATTAGGCCTCCCTAGTGGTGTCCAGGGGTCTCCCCTGGTGATACTCAGCTTGGCGGTGCAACCCTGCTCAGGCAGGCCTGGAGTTCTGGGCTGCGCCCCTCCGAGTCCCATTGTTTACTTAAGTGGAGCTGCCTGCCTCTGCCTTTTTTGGGGAACACTACTGGGTATCTGTTCCTTAGACGTGGTGCCAGTGAGCTCCCCGGGGCTGGTGGGCATCGCTGTCAGGTGCTTGGTGCTGGGTTCCTTGGGCCCCTTGTACCCTTCGAGAGTTAAGCCCTTAGTGGGTCTACAGCTCATGTGTTTCTGATTCCAACTGGGATAATTTTCACATCTTTTCTCCTGATAGTTGGGAAGTGGGTTTCATACTGTGCACACAGAGCCAGACTCACTGGCGGTGGCCAGGCCCAGACCTAGTGGTCCTGCATTCCTGGCCCAAAGACTGATGAGGTCATGTGTCTGGCCTCACTTACAAGTCTGCCCAGCCAAGGTGCAGGGGACTAGTAGCAAGGGGCTAAGTAAGGACTGGACAGGAACACAGGGCAGCGCTCCAGGCGCTGGACTTGTGTTGAGTGCACACCTTAGATGGTGTTTCCTACAGGCTAATGATGGACTCGAGGGCTAGTAAATGGGCTTTAGCCTGCAGGAGGCCAGATTCCCTCCCTGGTACCATGTTGTCCCACAGCACCATTGGGAGCAGCAACCCTCCATCCCCATCAATGCTGAGATCCCAAAACAAAACACAAAAATACTTAAGAGCTAAAATTCAGCCTCCACTGCCCTTTGTCCGGCTTTCACTCTCTGAGTGAGGAGGTGGAGGGAAGGTCCTTGCACACGGAGAATGTTTCCTAAAGCCTGAGGAGAGAGCCAAGACTGCAGAGCCTCAGGTGTGTGTGTGTGCGTGTGTGTGGTGGGGGGAGTTGGGGGGGTGGTGACCTTCCAATGGGGCATTGGGCCAACTCTGAGCCATGGAATGAGATGACAGGCCAGGAGGCGAGTTATGGGCCATATGGGTTTACATAAACAAGTCAAAGGCAATTGGGTCGGGCTGCAGGACTCTAGATTTTCGCCTTAATTGAGTGCCCTTCCAACTGAGGCCAAAGATAGTCACCATTGGTGCTGAAATTTTCCGTTTCTCTTGCTTTAAAAAGCAAGAGAACTTTTCCTGGGGGTGCTCATGGTCTGCTGTTGGTGATGCTTAGGGCACCCTGTAGTGCTGAGGATGGAGTATCGACATTCCTCCAGCATGTAAAACTTGCACATTAGCCCTTTGAGCTGTCTCCTGCTCCTGACTGTAAAATTTTGTTCTTTGCTTTTGGTCCCCCCCTGACTTTGCACTTGCAAGACACGTGTTCCGCTCATTTATTTCTATTTATTTTGTTTATTGTGTTTTTCTGGGCCACACCCAGCTGTACTCAGGGCTTACTCCTGGCTCTGCACGCAATCAAACCCAGATTGGTGAGCGAGGCAAGCACTTTATCCTGTGCTATCGCACTAGCCCCAAGTATTCTAACAATCAAATCCTGGCCCCAGAGCAGGTGTTTTTCTTTTATTAGTTTTTGTTTGTTTTTACCTTTTGTGGTGCTAGGGATTAGAGTAAAAATCCTTATTCATAATGTTGAAAGTTCCTTTGTTCCCAGCCCTTGGCTCTGTGATGCCCTGTGAGAGGAGTTTTTTTTTTAATTTTGATAAAATTGTTCTCAGTAACTGATTACATTCAGTATTTCAGTACCAGTTACACCACCATTACACCTTCCCTTCACTATTTTAAATTTTCTCACTACCACTAAAGCCTGCCCCACAGGCAAATACTAAATTACTTTGTATTGCTTGTTATAAATCGTATAGAATGTCTAAAACTTTTAAGTGGAGTCCGAGAGATTTCTCTGTGGCAAGCTGCTGCCCTGAGATTCATTCAAGACATTCATTCATTCATTCATTCATTCACTTTGTATGTCTCTTGATCACTGCTCTTAAATAGTGCCTGGAGGCAGTTCGTGGGCCTGATGGGCAAATCACGAGATGGGCAGGGAGAGGGGGAGGGGAGGGACGGCCTATACCCACTTCCAAGTGCAATGGAGTTTTCATTCACTATGCTGCATACCTGGGTTTTTCTTCTGGAGGTTTTTTTGCCACTGGTGTTCGTTTGGAGTAGGCGGAGAGAGAATGCCTGCTCCATCTGAGTTGCCCCTGTGAAATCAAGCTTGGTACGGGGTCTGGAGACATCTCTGTGGTAAGCTGCTGTCATCCAAAATTCATTTGTGAGTACGCCCTGTAAGTCTTAACCTGACTTCTGCTCCTTGCTGTAGTGAAGGTGCTGTTAGTCGCTGCTGGATGCCTTTGCCCAGATGCACTTTTACCCGTGCAGTGTTTATAGATGATGAACCAAAAATCATAGTGTGAACCACAAAGCATCTTTAGTCCTAACTTGTCTTGAGAAAACTTAAGATTGAATAAAGCTTTGTTTCAGTTGCTTTAGATTCACCTTTTACAAATCAGATATAATTAGAGTTTGTTCTGAGAAGAGTCCCCCTTTATTGCTCTGTGTGTGTGTGTGTGTGTGTGTGTGTGTGTGTGTGTGTGTGTGTGTGTGTGTGTGTGTGTTTGGTGTCACACTTGGTTGCAGTGCACCAAGTCGTCCTTATGGCTGTAGGTATCCTACTGCCAGCATCAGTGTTGAACCCAGGCCATTCTTGCAGTTCAGGCTCTCCACCGTGGAGCTATATTCCCAGGCCCAGCCAGTGAGGTCAACTATTCTGGCTTTGCCCAGGAGTGATCCTTAGCAGTGCTTGGGGGATCACATGAGGTGCCGCCTTCAAATTGCTAGGCAAGGCTTTAACCCCTGACCTCTCTCTGGCTTCATCCAACTGCCTTAGCCAAACGAAGGGCAAATAATGAGACATCAGTACCCATATTATTTTGTTGGTGCTACACCAGCAGTGCTCAGGGATTACTCCTGGTTCTGTACTCAGATCACTCCTGGTGGTACTCGGGACCATATTGGTTGCCAGGGATCAAACTCAGGTCAGCCCAATTGCAAGGCACGCATTTAACCCACTATACTGGCTCTCTGGCCCCAGTACCCTTATTCTTAAACTGAAGTGCTCATCCTCAGAGGTTTCCCCTAAAATAGACTTGCTACTGATTAGTAATAGAGCATATCAGTTCATCACCCTGACAGTTAACGGCAGCAGTAAGTGAGCAGGAAGCCTTATAAGGAAGTCTCTTTGTCCCAGTGCTCTTAAGAACTGAAGTTGCAACATGAGAAAGACAAAATCTGAGGTCCTGCCTGTGCATGCCCTTCTCTGTGCTGGACATGTCATGGCCACAGCCTGACAACCCTTTTTCTAAGGGGGCCATACATGGCGGTGCTCAGGGATCACTCCTGGTGGTGCCCGATGACTAAAAGGGGTGGCAGAAATTGAACTCGGAATGGCTGTAAGAAAGGCAAGTGACTTGCCTGCTGTTCGTTCTCCCAAGGGCTGCAACTCGGAAGCCAGAGAGAACAGCAGAGGCTCAACACACCTGATCCCCAGGTCCCCCTGACCTCCCCATCTCCACCCAGAAAGAGGAAAGGTCCAGGGTGATCTTAGGCCCAATGGCCAGATTTTGTGAGGTTGCATGGACAATTCTAAGTTTACAGACTGCAAAGGTGAAGACACACCCTCTCTCCACTTCAGCAGTCTCATGCCTGTTGAGACCAGTTCTGCCAGCGAGGGAACAAGGCCAGAAGACTGTACCCCAAAGGCTGTGTGTGTTTATTTGGGACCACACCCAGCTCTGCTCAGCAGCAGCCCCTGGCAAGGTTCTCAGGGGCTGCCCTAGGCTCTGGCCTCAGCCAGATCGCCAGCTCTGTTGGTGCCTTCTCATCACGCATGCATGTCCCTATAGGGCTCAGCTTGTCAGTAGAGGAGGGGCAATGTGTGAACAGGGCTGGTACTCCCTGGCAATAGGATCCTATCCCCTTCACCAGGTTGACTCAGTTCTGGTCTCAGCTGTTCCTCAGGAAAAGGAAAGGGAGCCAAAGAGAAGAGGGACTAAAGCGCTTGCCTTCCCCACTACCCACCCAGTGCACCCCCAAAACCTAAGGAAAAAGGAGAATCCACTGCCACGAAGCAAGAAGGATGAAGAGCACCTCTTAGCCCTACCCCTGCTGTCCCTTACTCAATATTTAACTTATGAGAAAGGTGTAACATAATTTTTCAACTGGGAATGCCAATGAAAGCCCCAGTGAGGTGAGGTCATTTGAAGTGGATGGAGCACCTAGTCATGGAGGAAGCGAGCACTGGGCTGGAGCATGTGCCAGCTGGCACAGGTGCCGCAAGCCACTGCCAGCGCCAAAAGCAAAACACTCCTGCCAGTCCACTCCTGTGGCTGTAACCAGTGAGCCCTGTGCTCATCTGCCCCCAAGACTTGCAGTCGGGTATTCTGTATTGCAGCCCATACAGAACAAATCCCGCTGCCCATCCAGCAGTTCATGAGTGGATCATGAAAAAGTGCTGCATTCGGGTAATGAGAGAATAGGATTTTTTAATTGTGGGCCACACAGCTGAATTCAGTCAAACCCTGTGATTCTGTCAACAGAACTGAGTCTTCCAAGCAGGGGTGGGGGTAGGGTGGGCAGATGAGGGGTCTGGGATGGGGAATAACCAGAGTATTAGTACAACGGTAGGGTGCTTGCCTTGCACTTGATGGACCCAAGTTGATCCTTGACATCCCACAAGCTCCCCTGAGTCCCACCAGAAGTGATCCCTGAACAGAGTCAGGAGTAAGTCCTGAGCATGCACACCCAGGTGTGGCCCCCCCAAAAAAGAGAGGATCTAGATACAGTGGGGGTGGAATATTGTGATACTGCTGATTGGGGTGCAGTACTAACACTGCTACAAATCACATT